TATATATATATATATGAAAGTAACATAGCATTATAGACACATCTAAGCACATGTCACATATCCTATTATAGCACATTTTCGCATTTTGCATACAAAGGGATGAAGGACCAACAAATAGCCTTGAGCACACATAGACACACACCTGGTGCTGATTTGTCTCACAATGAAGCCGGACCAAATGATGCTACAGAAGGATCTGTCAGCAAGCCCCATCTGCACACTCCCACACAGTCACGAAAAGACTAATCAGTAATAAGTGAAGACACATGTGTGAGCTCTGCAGGCTTGCGTAGGCTTGCTTGGACGTCACCACGGAGCTCCAACTGGCCAAAACGATAGCAGCATGGCACCATCTTGTGGCTGTATTCTGTTACTTCCTCATATGCAAGCCATGTATGCAACCTCCCCCCCAAAAATATACACACACACACACACACACACACATATATATATATACACTGCAGTTTCCCAGAAATTGCACTTTCTAGGTTCAAAATAAAATCGTGCTATCTAACAGTGGAATATGCAGTAAACTCAATGCACGCTAACAATGCTTCATTTATATGATATTTAATATTTAGACATGGGGCAACAGCCATTTTTACAGCACATTTTGCATAATTTATCAATACCTCCTGTATACAATCACAAAACCATGACATTAGATTTCTTTTTTTTTCTGTTTACTTACAAGTGAAAAACCAGACAGGTTTTACAAGCATACTCTTTGTACACTCAGCATACATCATCAATTATAAGTTTTCTTCATAACTTCCCCCTCTATAACTTTTGTTCTATATCTCTCTCTACACCATTCTTGTTTTTTCTTTAATAATATCCGGACACAAAAATAGTATGAACCACCAACAAAACATGCAACATCCAGTGTGAGCACATTTAAATTCTCCTGCAACTACTTGAGTTGTTAAGATAGACTTCTGTGTTAGACTCTGGTAAACTTTTAGTGTTTGGTGTAAAGGGTCGGGTAAATCTGGGTCCCTATAAACAGACAGAAGCTCTTCCCTCGGCCTATCCACTGTACAGCGATCCAAGGAGAAACAACTCCCTGTTACTTCTAAGATCACGCGACTTTTTTTTGTTGGTTTTTTGTTTAGTTTTGACTGCTAAAAGACCTATTGCTTCCCCAAACCCCAGTATAAAAAAACTATTTATTTACAAGGTTGAAGATAGAGATGGCATCTGGGTGTGTGTGTGTGTTCGTATAATTCATTGTGTGTTATGAGAAATTTTAGATAATTTAGACAGATAACATGTAAAGGAAGGGATACTGCATTAGAGCTAATGACATGCATGGACTTGGTGTGAAGATGCTACACACACACACACACACGAGCACATGGATAGAAAGTTAAGAAAAGCAACCGAAAATGCACGTTGCACCTTACGTTTGAGGTGTGAAGTCCACTGATTACAAGGTTTTCTTTAGTTGCTTTTTTTTTTTTGGTAATTCATACACTTACTGGAAAATGAAACAAATCGAAGGGGGAGTGCAAAACAAAGATAGGAATCATGACTAGGAATGTTCGATTTTCTTCCTTTGATTTATAGCTACGTGGAATTGGCGTTTTTAATGTGAGCATGTGTTCGTGCACAAGGGCAAAAAAGTTGGTTCTCTGAGTTTCAGGCCCCTCTAAATATTGTAAACAAGCACTACATAGTGTATAAAAACCTAATTTCTCTGTACATCTGATATGTACTGTAAACAAATATAATACAACATATGAAATTGTCTCACAGGCAATAAATAAAGATTCATATAGCAATACAAAAAAATCACACGGTAAATAAAAAAAACAAACAAACAGAAAACAACAAATCATATTAAAGCAGTAACCATTTCGTGGAGGACATGAAAACACAGCAGTGCAAAATAAACAGAAATGCTTCCTCTGAAACCAAGTGTCATATTTCTGGCAAGTCAGGGTGCAGTTATTTACGCTATATAGTAGATGTTGCATAGAAATCAGTCGGATATTTCACTGAAAATGTTAAATGAATCAGCCTTCCAGTCTTTTGACACCTGTACGCAGCAAACGGGACCTTTCTCATGAAATAATGGGCATAATAGGCGTTTAATGAAGTGCGCGTGGAGGTGGGACGAAACATCATCATGCTACTGTTACAGCATCGCGTCTTAGGATTGTAACTCTTGGTAGTTCCTGGTCTATAGTTTCTCACTTTCCCAGTGAAAAAATAATAATTTAGCAGGATGATGATGTTAGTTTTACATTCTAAGCAGAAAAAGTGCAAAATACTACAAAAGCGAGTGTCGTCGAGTTGACTGCCCTTACGAACGAAAGCAAGACTGATGCAAGACTTCTAATGTGCTCCAATCTTACAAGGAAAAAGAGGAAATGCTTAACTCTCATATAGTAAACGTCTCACATTCTAAGGGGCGTCATGAATAAATAAAACCTCTATGCCACAATCATCAAGACTTGATTGTCTGTGATAAAGATATCTATATATATCTATATATCTATATCTATATATGTAGAATAATGTCCAGCTATGACACTTCACTATATACAAAGTGAACCTTGGAGGTGTTTTTTTTTTTTTTGTTGTTGAACATGTGGCACTCCATACCAAATAGATAGACTCATGCGCACAACATGTAATGTCCAATTTGATATATATTAATATTGATGCTATATCAAACAATAGTCATCATTGGATAACATCAGGGAAAAATCAGATTAAAAGGGTAGGGAACAAGTAGTTTTTGTTAATAAAGTCAAAAACATGCTTGCAATATTTTTTTTTTTTGTATTGAACTGGAATGCTAGGTAGTGTATTATAAAATATACTTCCTTCCCAGAATAGATTGTTAAAGTACTTAAATAATTGAGGAGAAGACAAATCATAGAACTCTACGCTAATATCATAATACAAAAATAAATAAGAGGTCTCTATAGCAGAGTCTTTACTATTTCATTCCCAAAACGCTTTGTAAATCAATACAATAATAAAGCGAGGGTGAGCGCCCCATTTAAAGAACATTTAATGGATAAAACGTCAAAATAAATCAATTCGAATCTATAAGTGTGTCCATTCCCTGTATCTATTAGATTTGAAGTTCTGTGTGAATGACTGTGTGCAATGTCGTGAGCGTGTGTGTGTGTGTGAGATAAAGTGTGTAATACCTGGTTGATTCTGCACTTGACCTCTGAACTCAGCACCTGTGTTCTTCTTCTAAGTCCTGGCTACACCGCTGTACACTGTATGCCCTGTAAACATGTGTTTATTCCCTGTAAACACATAATGGTTTTCTCCAAGTTTTTCACATAATCAGAGCAGATATCATCATTTGCTGAAAGCATTTTTCCAAATAGCAAGCTATGCGAGCCCTGAAACAAAGGTTGAAGAAAAAAATCCCCCCTCTTCCCGTGCCCAGACCTTCCAGAAGACTGGATCAGCGTTCCAGATGTGGAACCCAGATGTCAGAAACCTGTTTTCCGCTTAAGCTTATTTCTTTTAGGTTGAGTCCCCTCCTATGAGTGGATCTGGGCAGTGCTGGCAAGCAGCTTGTGCCAGCTCACCACTCGCTTGCGTAAATCAACTTTATCCAGCCACACGTAGGCCTCGCCTATTAAGGTCTTCTTCACAAATTTGCCACCGTTGGACACCAGGAATAGCTGGAAAGAACAAAAGGCAGCAGTTTTGTGCGTGCTTAATGGGATGCTAATGTGGCATGTGACTGTGAACGTACACTTTGTGTGGCTTACCTGTAGCGCGTGTCCGGTGGGGTTCATGCAGAAGCGGAAGGTCTCATTAAAGGACGGCTCACGGTCGTGGCGACAAACCCTGGTCTTCTTCTTGATGATCCTTTTCTGGGTGGCGATATTCACCACGTAGAGCTTCACATAAAGATCTGTGGACAGAAACAAAGCAAAACAAAACAAAGTATGCGATTTCTCTGAGTGTGACTTCTGACATCTGCAGGAAAATGTCTTCCTATAATCATTAGTTTTAGGCATTTTTTAAAAGGTTTATTTAGTTCCGTCCTATTTTTCCACTTAGGATTAGGGATTAAGAACATATATCTTTAATAACTTTTTATTAGTGCAATAATAAAAAGTATTTTTATTATTAAAATACTGTCAATAATTTTTTTCCCGTTTCAAGCTCGTAAATAAAGGCTTGATCCTTTCCTTCTGTATCATATTTCAGGATTTAAGCAGATATCTTTTAAATAATTTCCTGTTTTCCTCTGACAGTTGTTTCTTGCAACCTGCTTTTAGTTTCACTTCCCCGCTTTCTCGTTACCCTCCTGTGTCCACTTCCCTGATTACTCCTTTGTGTATAAATAGCCCTGCCTTCCCTTTATTTTTGCCTCAGCATCTGCTCTTTTTCACAGTGTGGTTCACTTGCATATTTCTGTGATTACTTTGGATTCCCGATGGTTTGTTTTGGACTTTGTGTTCTCTGTATCAGTGCAATAAGATGGCTTTTGTTGCTTCAATCTGCCTTTTTGAGTGGGACTCCCAATTCTGCGAATCCTGACACTGGGTGTCTATAGCGAACACAGCTGCACTGAAAACTATACTTTTATATAATATATAAATAGTTTATATAACTGTCATAACTATAAAGTGTTACCATTATGAAACACCGAGCAAGATTCTGTACTGCAGAGCGACAGTGTATTCTCAGCTGAAATAAAGCCTTTTGTGCAGGTCCCATCTGGTAGCAAATGCAAATCAAGCAAGTGGCCGGCAGCTTGGGTATTAAGGAAGTAAATACTACAAGCAGAGGCAGTGTGGGCAACAATCTGCATTATATCAGCAGAAAGATTCATGTAATTGTGCTGTATAACTCCCAACGCATTTATCCAATGTGTCTAAATAATAATGCACAGAACAATCTTTAAAGACTAAATAGCATACAATTGTACTCTAATGAAGCTATTTGTATTTTTTTAACACTTTAATTAATCTTCAATTAAAGGGAGTTACATACTGTAATGTATGCTACTACTCGAACTACACAGTTTCTGTCAAATATAACTTATAAATGGCACATCCCACATCTTATTTGCTTAGGCTTATGTGTCATTAGTGAGCCTTTCCAGTCTCTTTTTTAGCCTTACACATATACAGTACATATTACTTAAGGGTTAAATGCTCTACGTGGGCCGGGAAACACTTTATTGCAACACCAGTTGTTCTGCTGCTATAAAACTGGCAAACATTTGAAGTGAAGCTAGATGCCAGAACACATATTTGTGTGGGCTTCCCAGCTGTTAAATGCAATATAAATTATGCGTATCATGGAAACTCTCTGTAAATATACTTTTCCCTCTCTTTCACCTTCCTCTTCCTAAAACACGATTCTTGACAGAATGGATGACAATAAGTGATATGTCACAACAGCTTGCTCAGTTGGTGTACTTTAGCTTGGCATTGGTTCGGTCATGTGCATAGATCAGGTATTTTCAGTTACCAGGCAGGTGATCTGGAGTCTTGAACTTGTAGGTGATGTTACGACACTGAAGAATCTCAAGGACCAGGTGTTCACCTTCCGTCTTCATTTCCTTCTTCAAAGCGATCTTTATCTCTCCCATTACCTGAGTCTTACCTAAATGCATACACACATGAAGCTAAATATGCACTAGTCAAGTTAACCTTATTTATATGGCACATTTTAAAACAACAGAAGTTGACCCAAAGTGCTTTCCAGGCACCTTCTAAATGGGTCAAATAAAATATCCTAAAAGAGCAATAGGATGTATTTACAGTGAACTTCAGCAAACTAGACCTCAAGTTAAAAGCTACTGAAAATAGGAAGGGCTTTAGAGCTCATTTAAGAAAATAAGGATGGGTATAAGCTTGATTATTACAATTATTTTAAATGTGGCATCTTTCAAAACGGCCGTACTCTACAGAGCACAAAGTGTGTGAATGCGGTGACTAATATCAGACATGGTCTGCGAGCAATCACATTTATTGATTTAACAAGGACGAGGAGAAGTTATGATGAGCCTTGTCTGGCCTCTAGTTGCCTTGGCAACTGAATGGAAGTGGCAGTTGTGAAAGCTGGGTCAACAAGTCCCTGGCAAATGTAGGCTGTGTGTAAGTGCACTTTTATTACTCATGTTGTGGGGACATAAATCTGTTTACACAGTTACATTGTGGGGAAGCAGCTCCTTTCTCAGGACAATAACATAAATCTTTACAATTTAGGATGAAGTCTGGGGTTTAAGGTTGACTATATAGTCATATACAGGCAGGGATTTGGTTAAATCAGTGGATGTAATGTCTTCTGAAGTGATGAAAAGTTAGAAATCCAGTGGCACAAAAAGACTGAGCGCAGATGGTGAAACGATAAAAAGATAAAATAAGTCCATTTAAAATGACAGTGTCATAATTACAGTGTGGTATGTCGTAAGCCAAATTACAACATAAGAAGGAGTAAGAAATCATATAATAGACCAATAGAGCTGAATTAAAATTGGATGAGAAACTATTGTGAGCAGTTTTAAAATATATACACTCCCCAGAAACTTTGTTAGGTACACCTGTTCAACTGCTCGCTCATACAAATATCTAATTAGCCAATCACATGGCATCAACTCAGTGCATTTAGGCACATGGCAAACATGGTAAAGGGCAACCTGCTGAAGTTGAAACTGAGCATCAGGAATGGAGAAGAAAGGGGATTTACGTGTCTCTGAATGCGGCGTTCTTGGTGACAGACAGCCTGGTCTGAGTAGTTTAGATCTACTGGGATTTTCAAACACAAACATCTCTAGGATTTATAGAAAATGGTCGGAATATAATATAAAAAATATCCAGTGAGCAGCAATTCTTTGGGAAATAAAGCTTGTTGATTCCAGAGTTCAGAGGACAATGCCCAGACTGCTTTAAGCTGATAGTTAGGGCACCAATAACTCAAACAACGACTTGTTACAACCAAGGTATGCAGAAGAGCATCTTCTCCAAGGTTGGACGTTTGTGTGAAAGCACAAAACATCCAACCTTGAAGGAGATGGGTTACAGCATCAGAAGACCACACTGACTGCCACTCAGCCGCCAGCTAAGAACCGGAAACTGAGGCTACAATTTGCACACAATTGGACAAAAGATTGGAAAAATATTGCCTAATTTGACTGGTGTGTCTTGATATCTGCCTAAACATTTCAAGATCAAGATAAAAGTATCGATGTAGTGTGTGGTTATATCAATGGTTCAGGCTGATGTGGTGAAATGGCATAAGGTACTTTTCTTGGTACAGTTTGAGCCCATTTAATACCAGGTGAGTCTTATTTAAATGCTACCTGTCAGTAGCTGCCTACCATGTCCAACCCCTTTATGGCACATAACAACAAGGGACTAGTTTAAATGTTGGTCATGCAAACTTCAGGAGCCATTTGCTAATTGCACTCTTAGATAATCATGTCATGAATGTTGTAATGAATACACCAAAAACACACACAAAAAAACATTTACTGTATAACAGATACACGCCCAACCTTCAGTGTCACTGTGTCCCAGTGATGATTTTATCACATCTGTGCCATTTGGGATCTTTCCACTGAGGAAGAGAAAAAAATATAGAAATTATTTATGTGCATAGCATATTACAATGTAGTACAGTATATCTTTAGTACAGCGAGGAATAGTTAAGCAAATTAACATGTTTAAAATGCTAAAGTGCCGCTCTTTGTGGGATAAATAAATTGACTCACAATCTGGGCACTTGGAAGATAGCACTGTCCACCTCGTTTGCCTCTGCTTCCTCGTCCAGTAGGCTGTAGGCGCTGCCGCTCAAGCCACTATCTAACGAGGCTGCTGTGACCGGGGCATCTCCTGATTTGTAGGTTGACCGAGCTGTGCATAGATATCACCACACCCATCACGACAAAGACAAAGAAAGAAAAATTGCCCCTTCCCCTCCTCGGTTGGTTCCAATAATTAAAAAAAAGAAAAAAACATGGGCCAGGTAGCATTACTTATTTGCAGCAGTGGAAATCTGCTATAAAACTTGAAAAGTTTTTGCTAAAGTCAAAGAGAAAGCTACTTTAAAGCACACAGGACTGGATCGCAATGAATAGCACACAAACACTGAAGACTAGCGAAAAGCACATGGACAGACATCTTTCTCTCGGCAAAGACAAGACAGTAAGAAGTCACATTCGAAATTTCAAACTTAAAACGCACACATAGAACCAGAGCGATATCACATGTATATGTTTATGCAGACTAAACAAGAGACACGAAGACTCCACTGACATCGTTAGTTGTCTACATGAAATAAGAATCGCGTTCCGATTCCTCAAGTTTAAGTGAAACTGCCTCAGTGTGCTTCAGTTTCATATTTTCAGGACTTTAAAGAATGTTTACGACTGTGTCTTTATAATCTTTTAACTGTTTAATGCAGGATATTTTAGATGATTTTAAATGTTTTAGCTTTTTTGCTCTCAAACTGCTGATCAGGCAGTGTGATAAGAGTATGAATGAAGTAAGACGCGTGGATGCGGTGCACGAGAGGATCCATGCCGACACGTTTTTCTTTCGAGCCACTCGACACGGCATCAATGCCGGATTGCGAAAAAGCTCACTAATAACAGTTTAATGATGCAGCAGATGTGGCAGTGGCAAAGTGTTAACATTCAATGACTCATCTCACAGTTTTGGATATTGACTTCCTGGTATTAGTGAACTGTGTCGGTGGCCTTCAAGAAAAGTGTGTGCCGTGTGCGCATGAATCTGTGGTGATGTGGCTGAGTGCGACTTTCTCTCTATCTTCCTGTCTCTTTTATGAACATTCCCCTCTTTCTTTCTGCAGGTGTGCGTTAGTAGTACTGCATCCTCTCTTTCTCTCACTCTCTCTTTCTCTCCTTGCTCCATCTGTGCTTCAGTCACACGACAGAGAGGAGACTCTTGGGCAAACTCTCACCTCCGGTGCTCTGCGGTCTCTCTTCTGACACGGCTTTCCTGAGGGTCAGGTGTCTGCCGTCTGCTCTGCTCCCTTTGGCCGACACAATCGATGGCAGGGCAGGCAGCCAGTCAGACTGGGCTCTCTGAATGGTGAGCACGCCCACTACGCTGTGTCTCTGGTGCCTCAGTGAGAGGCGGCCTCTTTGGCCTGGATGAGTTTAGTTTCACAGGCACGATGTCAAGGGGTCAACGCCGGGAAACAAAGGTCATGGTGTCGGAATTCAAATTGGAAGGAGGGAGGAGCGAGATGGAGATTCAGAAAGCGCTTTATCTTCATCATGGCAACCAGCTTGACTGTCAATCACATGCAGCCACAGTGCGCAGTGCCCCTCCCACATCACTATTGGGTGGGGCGTGCAGCATCTACTGAGGTGCATCGTGGGTCCAGTAGTTGTTTAAACAGAAAAAAAAGGGTTGGGAGGGGGGGTGTAGTGGACTGCATGCACAGCCATCTCGGTGGAAGAGCTTCAGAAAAGCTGGTCGTTGTTTGTTAACAAAAAAGGAAATTATATAGAACTCAAAAAATAAAAATGAATAATAATAATAATAAAATCAAAGTAAAAATCCAAATAGGTAAATGATATAAGGGAGGGGACTGCAACTGTCTTCGGTTGGATCCGTTAAATGAAATGATTTAAGTTCTAGCTGGCAGCAAAAGTCATTTTCTGAATTCTGAAGAATTATTTTCCTGATGAACTGTTCTCTGTTACGAAACTGTTTCATCAGTTATCTTTCATCATTAGAGCGAGCTGCTCTGACATTATCGCCAAGCTCGTTTGAACATCTTGTGCAAATCTGCTTTTTTCTGTTTCATTTATTTACTACTGTTTACACTGTCATCTTAAAATTAAAAGCTAATGTCAGTCAAAATAAAAGCTAATATTTAAGTTTAACTCCATTAAAGTACATTTAAGCCTCTTTATTACATTTTTTTTTTTAACACTAATAGGATTTTAAATAGTTAGAACTGGATACTTATTAGCTAGCATTATGCGTATTTGGAAGAAGGTCAAAATAAGTAAGGGTCAAAGACAGTGTGCTACCTTACAGGTGAGGTGCTGGCTGCTGACACTTGTGAATACATACAGAAGAGAAGCCATGAAAGGTTGACACACTGTGGATACAATGCTGAAGAGAACCAGAGAGTGTGAGGAGTGAGGGGAAACTAAGTAAGGAAAAGGAAATAAAGGAACGGAAGAAAAAAAAACTCAACAAAAGGTAGAACAGATGAGTGCGAGGAGGCCATGCTGCGTAGGCTTTATTTGCGTCTTGGTTTACTTGGTTGGAGGCGTTGTGGCGGCTGCTGCTGTGACTGCTGTTGGGCATCGCCCGTTGCTACGGCAGCGCCTCCTCTGCTTCCATTGAGGCTTTCCTGATGGTGCTGTCGTGCTGCACTTTTGCTGGAGCGTGAAGCGCCGTGTGAGCGAGAGTGTTGGCTGTGTCCGTGGCTGTGGCTTTGGCTCTGGCCCTCGGACGGGGAAGGCTTCGATGTGCCAGGGCTACTGTGAGATTTCTCGATAGAGGGCACCTGTGTGTCTAAAACAACCAGATTCACCAAATTACCAAAAAAAAAAGGCTACCTTTTGCTTTTCTTAGTGGTTGTCACCTGTTGAGCACCACTCAGAATGAGCTGAGTTGCTGGCTAGTGAGATACTGAATCTAGCCAGCGTGTATTATAGTCTATCGTGCTCCCTAAATTTGATGTTACTTTGAGGTTATTTTTTAACTAGCATTCAAAGCCTTCCACGGCCATGTTGCCCTCTGTGTTAGCAGAAAGATAGAGGGAAGCTAAGGCAAGGCCTCTAAGCAGGGTGACATCATGGCAACCAAGAAAACAGACCACGAGAAAGCAAAAAGGATGAAGCGAAAGCTAGAATGGGTGCAAAAATGACTAGAGGAAGGTGGCGGTAATAAAGGAGACAAGACTGTAAAGAGAAAATGGACAGAGGTAGAGGTAGAAATAGAGAGAGCAGTGACAGGAAGAAAGCAAAAAAGAGAAAGAAAGGGATAAAGAAGAACAGACTACAGAGACGAGGAAACAGCAGAGAAGCAGCAGAGTGTTGTTAGGGGGAGATGGTGATTAAGTCGAGGTGAGGGGAATACATCGTGTCCTACCCTTGGCCGGATCTGGAAAGATCCCATGGCTTCGACTCTTGATGACAGATGATTTTGGGGAATCCTGATTATCATGCGAGGAGCCAGTGGTTTTAGGGGAGGAGTGCTGTGAGGAGGGTTTAGAAGAACTGTGACGACCCTGGCCTGAGTGCGAGCGTCTGTGGTGGTCCCCCTCGCTCTGCTCCTTGAGAGGGAGCCACCGCGGGATGTTGTCCAGCTGGGCAGTGTTGGACAGATCAATAAGGACCTACAAGCAAATAGAAAAGTTTTTAAAAGTTATAGAAAACCTTTATGGACTCAAATATGTATAAAATCTAATATCAAAGGAGCTTACCTCCCCCAAGAAATCATTAGAGGAGCCCTTGTCATAGTCCCACACGCTCACCTCCAAAGTCTTCTTCTTAAGCTAAAATGTACACACAGTTGAAGAGTTCATAAAAAAGTTTCAAGTTTAATGCTAAAGTTAAAGCAGTTTCACGCCTTCAAGCAGCTGAAAAACGAATAGAAACGGCGACAGAAGTTGGCAGTTTTGCTGTGATTGATACAGGCTCACTGAATCTAAAATGGGATCTAAACAGATATAATAAATCTCAGCGATACATCCATCTGCTCCGCTGAAAACCAGTGGCAACGACGACAGGTTGGCACAGAAGCAGTAAAAAAAAGCAATATATTGTGCTGCAGTTTTTTGTTATTTTCAATCTGGAAATTAATCAGTTGAGGGCTTTCTTATTTGTCCATTCATATATGAACTATTACAGAGTTATAGAAAAATGCCATTAAAAAAACAGCGTAAGATAACAATAACATTTTTGAATGTCTGATCTCATAGGTTTACATGTTGCTTGAGTCTATAGCTATATTAGTGGTTTTGTTACTCTGTACTTTGGCAGAGCATGCTAACAAGCTCATGATGAAGACACCTCCAGCTTATGATGTTATCATGCTGATACAATTGTGTTTGCTAAGAAAAAACCCTAAAACATTTAAGCAAAGCAAAATATTAGCATTAAGACAGTAATATCAATACCATGCGTGAATAATAGACTGTATATAAAAGAGGCACTGCCACCCAACCATTTAGAGTATAAAGACCAGCGTGTAAGGAAGCAATATATGTTGATTCTATTTTCTTACTAATTATATCTGGATGTGAGAGTGAAGAGCAAAGTTATCAGCTAATGTTAGCAAGCTTGTTTAGCAGATTGCATACAGTTAAAAAAAAATGGTACAGATACTGTATATGTGCACTGCAAAGACACAGAATCAAAGCTGGGAGACAAAAGTTTTGGAAACATTGTTGGTATGATTAATCCCAATTACACAAAGCGAGTCATATTACTGTATTTGTCAGATAATTAAATTAATAATTCTCCAAAAAGCACCAACACCACAGTACAGTGAGGCCCAGTTCAGTGGCTCGAATTAGAAGAAATAAAGCTTAGAAGACAAGGTTTTTTTATATAGGGTGGTAAAAATGTTTATTTCTTCTACAAATTTTAGAATTTTAATGTACGAGACTATTTATTGGCTCAAGTGCACTCTGAATTGGAGATTTTGGTTTGCTGCTGGCTGTGTACAAAATTTCATTGCGAAATTGTAAGATTTCCTAAATGAATCCAATAGGGTTCAAACGTGTCATGTGTACCTAGACACCGTTTTAGTGTAATCATGTGTCTCTGACCAGACAGTACCTGTTCCAGGTGGATGTTCTTATAGATGACAGTTTGGTTCCACTCAGGGTTGATAGTTTTGCCTGCGTGTTTGGTCTTCCTCTTGTTTTCGGCACTGGGGGGAACACATCACAGCAACACACACTTGGTCAACGACATGTATGCAAATAACATGTGTGTCAGTGAACCTACGCATTGCAGGGAGCAGAAGATACTGGAGTAGGGCACAATGTCACAGTAGAGGGAAAAGAATGAATGTGATGCACATTGTTTGGATGGTAACAATGTATGGGCCTTTGTGCATGGATAGCAGGGTATGATGTCAGGGTGTGCTGCAAAAAAGTCCATTTCGATGCCCATCATGTTATTTAGTTTCACAGAATTTTGATGCATTGAAAGAACAAATGTTTCAGGTCTCCAGTAAGAAGAAAAGCACCAATAGTCCCAATGACAAAAACAAACGTAATGACCGTATACCAAATGTTTTTTTTTTTACCTATTCTGAGTTAATATATTTCACATGAAAAAGTTATGCTGGGCATCAATAAATGACTTGTTGACATGGATATTTTTTGCAGTGTGTAGGGTTTGAGTTCAGACTGTAGCATATGAGTAAGTTTGGAAGAGTTAGGTTGGAAAAGACAGGGACAATCTACTCTACACTGGACAACAATGGTATGAATTGGCCGTAGGGCAAAATAATAGTGTACACTGGATGTGGATGCAGGGCACTGAGGGTACATTATGATGTCAGGGCACAATGTAGGATATTACTGAGGGATTTTAATAACAAAACAGGGTCAAAATCTAGGGTACTGGGGCCGATGTTAGGGTTTCAAATTACGATGGTTAGAAAGGAAAAACAGACCATCTACCAGAAAAAGACAACAGTTAGCTCTGAAAACAACACAGGGAACTATTAGTTTATATGTGGTAAGGAAAACAGATGGTAAAATAATAATATCTGGGGCATCCAAAGAGAGTATCATGAAATAATGGATACTAAGGGAAATATATTCAGGTTGAAGGGAGTTAGTAGGACTGAACTAAGTGACTTTTATCAATAAACTTCCAGAGAGAAATTGAACTTGCTCTTTTTTTTTGCCTTAACCAAAGTGACAACCAATTATCAACCAAAACAGAACCAAAGTGCCAAAGTGGGCAAGTCACATACCTGGCATTCTGGACAACCATGACCTGACTGAGGGGGTCCAGCATGCATTAAATATAGAGAACAACATACAGAAACAATAGTCAGAGGGAGGGTGGGGGCGGGTCAAAAAGTGTCTGTGGACTGTGAGGGGAGATTGAGTCTACACTTAGCTTAGGTTTAGCGTGTGATTTGTCAAGTGTGCCTTTTAGAAAGGGGCATGAACAGGAAGCTGCGGTCTGCTGCAGTGGTGCAAAGAAATTTTGCTATAGTGTGTACATGACTGCATGTATGTGTGCTGAGAGGACTCCCAGGTCACATGACAGATCTTGTGGCAACCGGAGTGGAGATCTGTCACTCATGAGCCAGATCGCGCAGTCTGATATATTTCTTGAAGTTTCTGCTGCAAGAGCTGGAGGCTCAACATTTGTTTTACGTAAAACAAAATAAAACCCACTGTTTTTTTTCTGGCTTCTCAGTATTGAGACACTGTCCCACGTAGTTGCCAGAAGACCTGCGATGCAACTGAAAAGCCTCTCTATGGATTGCAGCTGGCATTGATAGCTGTGAGATTCCATGTATACACACACAGGGTATACACGAGTATGTGCACACATGCCTTTAAGTGTGCATGTTTCCATAACCACTTTAAAGTGGCCGTAGGGCTTGTGGCTGCCATTCTCTCAGTTTCTTTAGCATAGCCCCAATCCCATTCATAACTCACAATGGCATCGGCGCATGAGTCAACCCGAAGGCGTGTGAGAGTGGCAGCTAAAAACCCCACAGCTATACAGTATATTATTACTTTTATCTGAAATGATCCCTGGAAAAAAACAAAAAACATTCTCTCGAGGGACCTCATCTCAAGCCGAAGAGAAGGTGGGAGTGTCAATTGCATTACAGTGCAATCACTGCGGGAAAGGGAGCAGTAGACTTAAGCAGAAGTCTGGATTGTATTGCAAGTAAATATGAGAGCTATTGATTTTGACTGCACTCACACCTACAGTGGAACACACATCAACAGGGGCAACTCAAGTGCCTCATTATATTTACATAATGTTTATGCCATTCGGGAGCAAAAGAAATGGGCTGCTGAGTTTTGGACTGTCAAAATAAAAGACGACCTTATGCATAGTAGCACATAGGCGTTATGGAGTTCATATCAGAAACGTCCATGTGTTGCACATTGAATGATGTAATGATAAGCCAAAATCAATTGTACATCGATTTTAAAATGAATGGAAACTAAGTTACTGCTTAACAGACTGGCTGTCTGTGTAGCCTAGATGGGGGAAAAAGATCTTAGCTAGAATGCTGCTACTGCTTCTGAAAATCTGTATACTTAATTACTTGTTCTAGCTCTGAAATCCTTAACATGTGCTTTCAGTCTAAACACTACTAACTCACCCTCTCCCTGGCAGGAGATACACTTTAACGAATGGATCGGAGTAGCCATTGTTATCCCGCGGGGCAAGGTTTCTGGCCTGCAGGACGTGAACTATCAAGTTGCCAAGCTGCTTGTCATAGTGGATTTGAAGCTGCAAAAAGAAACACAACTGAATTACAATAGATTCGGCTGCATTTTAGTCTTGCATCTATCTAATTTTAGCAAAAATAACATCCATCTACTCAGATACTATGCTCTTAGAATTAAATCTACACAGATTACAGATTTACAGTAATAGTTTTGTGTCACAAACCTGTATCTCTCCGGATACAGGGTGGGATTGGCTCTTTGTTCCCTCTGCAATCTGTAAAAGATGAAAACAACATGGTGAAACAGACAAAAGTGTAGGTGGAACTCTTGTGTGTACTGGTAGCTGATTATAAGGTGGTGTACAGTACTTTATGCTGCACTTTAGGCTAAACTGTGAAGTCTCCGAATCATAGAATCTGTGCATCTGTTTCAGGGATCCCTTCAGATAATTGACATCCTTTAAAAAAGACATATACTGTTACCTAATTATAACTAATAAATAATTATATTATACACATCTTAAATTCATATTGAGTTAGAGGTAGATATATCTCTTATGAAGTCAAAGACAACTACTCGCAAACGTTAAAACAAAGTTTAGAAGAGCTCTTCAGAAACTCTCTGCAGACAGAGGCATAGTTTCAAAATAAACTTTCCCAGAAACTCAATATTGCAATCTTAATGGTGCTTACAGTGCAGCCAGGACTGCTATAGTCAAAAGAAGACCATGTACTTCCATCTCCATGGATTTACATGGATAGAGCAAGCATCAATATCAAAGGTTGTGACACAGAGTCACGAAGGTTGGTTGCAAAGCAGCTTGCAGATTTGCAGCTACTGTGGGTAAGCTAAAAAAGCCTGTGTGAATAGCATGCTCTATGGTATCTGTGGATTGTGGCTGGGGTTGACATGTTTGCTTGGCTGCCTAAAACTTAAAGAATGTGATTGATAGCGTGCCTCTAAACTCGCCTTGCTGCTGTGACGTTTCTTGCTGACTGAGGGGGATCCTGGCTGACCGGGGCTGGAAGTTGCTGAAGTGGTGGCAGGCAGGCTGGAGGAGGAGGTGGACAGTGGAGCCTGCTGCTGTGACACTTTCTGCAGCTCGGCCGCTAGCTGCTTGGGATCAACACCTGGAGATCTGGGAGGTCTGTCACCTAGAGAGTTAACACATATGGCTATGAGTACAGATCATCATCGCTGCACATAACAAACCAAAGGATCTTGACAATGATCTGTCTAGGGACCAAATGAATCATCACTATGGCTCTTAACCCAATTCACTTCCAAGTCAAATTCAATGGAAAAGAAAAGTGAATATTAAAGTGCCACAATAGAGACAGCTCTGTGCATGTTTCCAGAACTGTTCTGTGTAACAGACTGACAAACTAGGCCACAGAAAAAAAAAACATGGCTCAACTTGAGAGAGAAAAGAGAGCTGAAGATAAAAAGCGATATGAGAAGAGCATCTGAAAATAACAAGAGACAAAAGTTAATCGGGAAAAATTGAGGACGGAGGAACAGGAGTGAGGAGGAATCAGTGGAATCAGTTGCAGTTGAAATTATAATAAAAATAATTAGGTAATAACTTACCTTTGCTGTGCTCCTGGAAATCTAGGTGCTGGGAACCCTCAGACTCTGCCAACATGTTGAGATCCCTGTTGGAAAAATTACATTTCATACATTTCTGAAAAGTGAAACTAAAGGAATTAAATGACGAGGAAAAAAGACAAAAAAAAGGTACTAGAAAAGCCATGAAAACATCACAGAAATGGAGAAAAAAATGATGTGACTATAGTTAATTAAAAAACAGGACAGCAAAGCTAGTGATTAAGACTAGCTTTTAAATATTAGACATGGGGTAACATTAAAGTCATGAAGAGTTTAAAATGATCCATCTTAAATATAAAGAAAAGAAACAACAAGAATGACACTATGGCGGGTTGAACAGAGTGCACAAGAGAAAGATTGCAAGTGACACAGGTTATACTCACAGTCTGACACACACTTCTGCCTCATTACATGGCTGTCCAACGAGCCCTTGTACCTCTTCATAGGTTTTCCCCGTCAAAAGAACACCATTCCACTCCAGGACCTGCATTCCTATATACGATTTGCACACCCAGAAGAGCAATCAATATTGATCCTGTATTTTCCCATATCCAGTGCTGTACAGACGCATCCCTCTAAATAAAAAAAGGAATCAAAACCTATCTCATAAAACAATCAAATGATTAAAAAAATCAGTCCATTCGTTTTAGTCATTAGTTATTAGTTAAGAGCAAGCAGAGTAAAAGGGTCTGTTTAATCTTAAAAGCATATAATTTACAATCAAATACACTTTTCTCCAACCTGCTTTAGCAGTGACGGATGTTTCCCAGGACAGGCTGATCATTTCTATATATAAAATAGCGCAGTGATATTCCACTCAGCACAGCAAACCCACCGCATGCTCCAAAACACACCCTGCACGCTGGCAGGACTTACACGGATTGAAACAGCTCATCAGGAAGGTCCTCTGTTTTCGACGGTACTCTCGAGCTGCGTGCATATGTGACAGGAAAGCTAGAGTACACTGTATTCTCACACTGGTATTATTCATCAACACCCTTGAACTGTATATAGTAGCGTTTGGAGGTTGAATTCCAGCGATCAAACAAGCACCCATTCATACACAAACTGTGTCCTTCTGTGACACAGATTCTCTACCCCTGTTGAATTTGACAATGTTTCTCCATATTCGCACCAGACAGAGTGAGGCATCGTGTTCCCACTGGCAGAACCGAAGTAATTTGCAGCCATTCTGCTCAGTGTTGATGACAGGGTTACGGGTGTTATTATGGTTGAGGTGTCTGGCTAACAGCACCACAGATGTACCTTGACTCTTGGACTACAGCAGCCGCTAACAGTTTTAGTTTTTTTCTCTGTGTTAGAATAAAATGCTCTGCTCACAATTGCTCTGTAGGATGTTGTTGAATCCTCTGGCCTTTGACTTAAAGAACAACATGGCACTGTTCTCTCTGGAACCCTTTATAGCGTGCTTACAAAAAAGTGGAGAGCGTTAAAGCAAAATAAAGCAGCCATGTACTACAATAAAAAGGAAACAGGAGGAAAGGTAAACAAGAGCAGCAAGTGGTCACGCTCAAGTGCACATAAACACATCCTCAGAGTACAGGCAGATGGATTATACACGTCTAAACTGTCCAAACTCAAGCTTTACTGATTGTGTGACACCCTTCATGTGAGTATGACTAGGAGTTCACTGATCTCATACTTCCCTATGTAAAAATCAATATAATGTGTTCCTGTTACACACATTACAAGCAATTTATTGTTAAAAAAGGCCATATCTGCGGGTTAAGAACTATAATATAAGGATTTGTATTTTAGAACAGTCATCAAATAATACAATAGATTTGTTAAGAAAATAACTCTGCTATCATGACACAGCCATTAGGTTCTATCTCCATTCCAATTAGTCAAAAGGTGAAAAATGATAATAAAATGATACAAATATAACTGCTGGTTTAAACACTCTACACCCATAAGCTTCTTGTTTTTGGTTCTCATCTCTCATGACCAAATGTGAGTCATGGCCCGTCACCCGCAGGTGATAAAGCTAAATGCAAATGAAGACCTATTTTTGTAATCTCCCTGTTTCTCTCACTCCAACTACATGTTCGATTCTGTCAGTCTGTCAGCCGCGAACGACCAAAGATGTAAATGCACCCAAATTACACGCGTGAAGAAAATGTTTGTTTGGCTTGCTTGTTGAATTTTATATGAGAAGACTGACACATTTTGTATCTTAATTTTGTATCGCACAATACCTTATGGCACCTCTTAACTGTATGACAGAAGACTAGTGAGTTATCAGTCACATTGTAGTTACACTCCATTTACTCTACTTAATTTTCACAATAAGGGGTTTAATTAGATGAAAGAGCTTACCTTCAAGAATCTTTCCTGTTTGTTCTGCCGCTCCACCAGGTAACACTTTGGCAACATATGCTCCAATGTCTCCATTACTACCAGGGACCTCTTTTCCTCCGACCACTCGGATACCCAGACCATTTCCTGTTAATGCCCCAAAAGAAAGACTGGTGAGTGTTTATGGTAGATGTAGCCCACAGTCTACAACATTTATAATTCAATATATGATTTCTTTTGGATGACTCTACACAAAAATAAACTCACCAAAACAGCCAAATAACATAAAAGTGTGACTATTATGTAGAAAGCCAAATAGTTGTTCCAGAACTGAGGATTATTAGAAATAAGCTCATTGGCTAACTACTTGTGATTCACGAGTCAACGCCCAATGAGCATGCAGTTTCACAGCCAGACGTGCCCCTTTCTCAAGACCTCTAACTTTATAAGACCAACATGGTGAAAATCCTCATCTCGAGGCTTCAAAGGAGACTTCACAAACCAAGAGGTGACGTAGCTATGCCCATCTTTTATACTGTCTATGGTCAAAATAGAATTAAGCCTGTAATTTGATATTTTGTATCAAATTAAACATGTAAGTTATTTACTAAAAATACAATAATTTTTCAGAGATAAGCAGGTAAAATGTAGCTAAAAGTTATGGGTTTAGATATCGTGGGAGTGGGAATTAAGCTAGGGAGCTAGCCAGAACTAGCCATAGCTGAAGCTAAAGCTCAGTATAGCATACTTGCTGGTTTTGGCTAGCTGTAAACTTTGACTGAAATATATGCACTTTGATGCCGTCTCTGAAACTTAATTATTTGCCACAATTAAATTACTAGATGCTTAATCCAAAACTGATGAGAAAACCCAGCTAAACTCCAGGTAAAGCTTAATAGCTTAAATTGATATGTTTATTTAAATCACAGTCTTAAAGAAATGTGTGCATCATTTTGTTTGCAGATTTTCTGTGTCCAGCAGCAGTTTAGGTCATATGTAGGCAGAACACTGTCTACACACTGCACACTGTTAGCCAGATTAAACCACTACCCTTGTATTGATTTTCTCAGCCTACATAAAGAGGCTTTCAATTACGCAAAAACAGAAACCTTACTCATTTTGAACCATGAAACCATTTTTTATGGTTATTGAAGCCAGAACAAAAACAATGCAGCAAAATGAATCAGTTCAGCACTGGGCGCTAGTAAACAAAACGCTTCCTTTCTGGGCTGCTTGTTAATTGCATAAGATAATCCTGAGTGTGAGGGATACGCCATTTTGAGCATGGCAATGACTGATGAGCGTGGAGGAGAGCCAAATCGAAAGGGAAGCCAGGAAATGAAATGCCGGGCTGCTTTAAGCCTGGAAGAGTTGTGTGATGCAACATATAGGCTAGCAAAGTGACCTGCTAGTTTGCTGAGATTTGGCTTGAATATTAATTAATATGCATTAAGCTAACTAGTCATGCTCTGTAAACCCAAATAGATCTAGGTTAATGTCTATATTTTGTTATGCATATTTTGTTGTCTATCCTTAGTAAATATTTTTATTTCATTTATTTTATAACATTCTTATTCCTAATTA